TGAATATAAGCAGATTGAAGTCGGCAGATCTCTGTCTAAAATATAGAGATTGGTATGGCGCATAACATGTTGACAAACAATGCTTAATTCTGGTGGAGGAAATATTACAATTAAGGACGAAGAAGACGATATAGTAACAGTCTTAGGTTATCATTAGCCTTTGCCAATAGAAGAATTCATTTTATTAATTCAAATGTTGTAGGTCAATCTCTGTACGTAAATTCAACAATGGGTAAGGCTATGCTTTCATTACTTGAGGCACACCATGTTGATCACTGAATTCTTTCCTAACTAGGTGCGAAGGATAAAAGGCATCCACTGGCCCAACACTATCTCGTTCTTCTTCTTTATCGTTCTTAACTTTAATGTTGGAAGAGATTCCCTTCAACACAATTAATTATTACGTGTCAATTGGTTATACGACATTGAGGCCATTGACTCCTATTTCAGCCTGCTTTTCTTTTTGGATTTGCTTCCATAGCCTTTGTCCAACAAAGAACAAACTACAAGGCAGCAGTTGTTTGATTTTGGAGTTCTCTCCTAGCAAAGGTTGCTGTCCCTAGTTGTTGAGTCTCAACAAGACTTTCGGGTTAGCAACCATGAGCTTTACAGACTCGAACACGCCGACCACTTTTTAAAAAAAAAACAATAATTTCTTGAGAAATGAAATTGTAAGCTGTTTCAGAAGTATCTAAAAAAATAATGGCGTTGGATGAGTCACGTTTTAAGAAGTTGAGAGGATATCACGGGAATGGCGCTAAACAGGACGCCTCAAGGAAAAAGAAAGCAAGGAGGGCCAAGGGAGACGTGGAGGCGCTTTGCAGAAAACCAACTGACAAGTACAGGGCTATCGTACGGAACTGTCAAGAAAGTTGTAAGACATCAGCCAAGCCGAAAGAAGTTTCCGTGGCAGCCTCTTGTGTCCTGGGCACTGAACAGAAAAGATGATGATAGTGAATCCATGATGTTATATAATTCACCTTAAATTTCTATCTTACCGGGTATTGATTCCAATGTCTTTTGTAGTTTTCACCACAACTTGAAGATTTTTTCTTAACGTTTCTTCTTTAATTTCCTTATGATCAATTTCTTGTAAATGATCCGGACTGAAATTTCGTTGATTCTGGAAACTATAAATTTTAGCGTTGGTTTGTTCATAGTAAGCAGCCGGATAATTGGACGCCGGCTTTTTCGTCCCTTTACCTAGCGCGTTGTAATACACTTCTGGGTAGATCAAGTCGGAGATGAAATCGTCTTCGGTTCGGTGTGCGATATTTTGGGGCACATCGTATGCCAGATTGGGTTCCCATTCGAAGGTGAAGTCCACGTGCTTCGTCTGGCCGTTTTTGATTTCCGGTGTGTCGTCTGGGTCAGAGCGTGCCGCCATTTGTAAACAAACAAAAACATCAACGGAGTAAACACGAAATAACTCCTTTAGGGCTGTCGTCGACACATCAAGCTTTTACTCACAGTACACAGTTAAGCCTATTTCAACCTATACATCTTGTGGATGTTCGTCAGAAATATCACCTAGGAATATATATATATATATATATATATATATATATATATATATATATATATATATATATATATATATATATATATATATATATATATATATGCCTATAGTTATTTATTTATTTATTTATTTAAAGACAGATGGATTTTTTTAAAAAGTTATCTTATGTCATTTTCAACACAGCATAAGACTTAAAATACAAAGTTTTTTTAAGTTAATTTTTTTTTAACTTGTACAAGTGGTAAATAATGTAATCAATACTAATTGAATTTAAGATTAGGAAAATGTGATAAATATTATTGTAAAATAAATACCGCACTAATTGAATTGAAAGGTTCTAGAAATGTCTCCAGAAATTTAACGATAGAAGAATTTTCAATTGTTTTTTCAGCTCTGAATTCTGAAAATAAAATAATGGTTCAATTTCACGTCAGGATTCATTACTTTTAGATCGCCTTTTAAGAATGAAAACTTGATAAATGTAGCTCAATAATAATGGGATCAATTATTTCTAGCATCTTGACACTACATAATTATGTGTAACATCTAAAAACAGATTTTTTAAAATGGAAATGTAGGGAATACAACAACCCACGTTTTGAAATGTATGTAGCAGTTGTTGGAGTCAGCGCGGTGTTGGGTCTGTGTTGTTGGTTGGCTCGGTGCTGTGTGTGGAGGACTGACTGGAGTCTGTGTTCAGCGATACCGCAAGGTCCAGCGATACCGCAGTGTTCAGAGATGCTACAGTGTTCAACGATACCACGTTGTTCAACGATACCACGTTGTTCAACGATACCACAGCTCTTGTTAGAGGCAGAGTACATAGCTGTCAACATATGTATAGGTTAGACTATGTGGAGAACCTATGTATGAAGTTAGACTATGTGGAGAACGTATGTATGAAGTTAGACTACGTAGAGAACGTATATATGAAGTTAGACTATGTGAAGAACATATATATGAAGTTAGACTATGTGGGGAACATATGTATGAAGTTAGACTATGTATAGAACATATTTATGAAGATAGACTATGTGTACGTGAAGTATGAAGTTAGTCTATGTGCACAAGAAGCATGAAGTTTGACTAAGTAGACATGAAGTATAAACTAGACTATGTGGACATGAAGTATTAGACTATGTGTACATAAAGCCTGAAGCTAGACCATTAGATGATTCAAAATACTTTACTGCACTAGACGACTAACCTTGCCAAAACAGTGAAGCGAGGCTGTAGATATCCCAGCAAACTCCATCGCACGTCACCTTCTCACTGAAAACATTCGTCATATAAAAATATTTTCATCAATTCTTTTATAAAAAATGAACTTTGTATTCATTTTTTACAGATTTGAAAAGCTACATAAATTTTCATACCCAGGGGCGTAGCGGGGGGGGGGGGGGGGGGGACGGGGGGGGGGACGGGGGCGGACCGCACCGGGTGACACCATTTAGGGGGGTGACACCAAGGCAAAAAATAGCAAAATATATAGAGAAAAACTTGAGGGGGGGGGGGGTGCAAATCGAAAGTTTTCGGGGGGAGGGTGTGCAAATCGAAAACTTGAGGGGGGGGGGATGCAAATCGAAAACTTGAAATTTTGTCCCCGGGAAGGGTCGCTACGCCTCTGGGGGGGGGGGGGGGTGACACCATTAAGTGCCGCACGGGATGACACCCGACCTCGCTACGCCACTGTTCATACCAGCAAACTAACGCTGGTACGTCAGTTACCGGGGCAGAGCCTAACCCTTACGCTAATCCTAATGCTAACCATAATCCTAACCCTAACGCTAATCCTAACGCTAACCCTAACCTTAATCCTAACCCTAAACCTAACCGTTACGCTAATGCTAACCTGCTAACCTTTACCCTCCCCCTAACCCTAACAAAGATAGCGGAATATTCTGGCGAAAAAGCGTGTTCTACACTCTGTTTATTGTTTGGTATTCTATAGAATGACTAGGAAACGTATGAAATATGATGCATTTCTTAATTTGACGACCCACTTTGGGCATTATATAAACCTACGTGGCTACATTACAGGTATTCTATACAATGCCCGGTTTTATACATTGCCGGTGACATATATAGGCTATTATATATTCATAGCGATTTTGAGAAAGTCAAATTTTGATTGTAACAAAAGCTTAAAACTTTAATAAAATCTTTATTCTTTATCATTTATGCCATTCCTTATTTGAAATTGTAAGCATCGAAACCAACACGTTCGCGCCGTCGACAGCCGTCACACCGGGGGATCCTTGTGGGCCCCCTCTTATACTTTCTTGCCTACGCCACTGGAGAAGACATTACATCTATTCAGCATTCTCCTACCTTTCGTGATTAAGTTGTACCGAAGATGCTATCAGATATCACGCCATGGCCATTACATTCAGAGTTACCTCTCTTTGGTTGTTTATTATATGGCACCAGTGCGAAACGGTGTAGCGACCACAGTTTTTTTAGGCAAACTTCGAAGGGGGGGGGGGGGGGTTGGCATGAAACAAGCAGTGCTTCTTCCAGACTTTTTTCTCCGGGGGGGGGGGGCGGTAGACTTTCTTCGCGGGGGGGGGGGGCACTTTTAAAAGTATATATTTTCTATATAAATTTCATTTCGTTCTGGGGGGGGGGGGGGGCGGTAGACATTCTTCCCGGGGGGGGGGGGCTTTCTGGAAACAAGTCCACAGCAACCCCACCCGACAGAACGAAATAGAATTCATATAGAATATATATATATAATTTTACCAGTGTTTGACCCCCCCCCCACCACCACCCGAGACTTTCAAGTGCCGCCCCCCTTCCCCTCGGAGAAAATGTCTGTAAGAAGCACTGGTAGCCAGTGAAGGGGTTACAGGTTGTACACGTTATTATTGATTTGCCATCGACAGGGGCCTGCATTGTAGCTTTTCATGCGCATATGTACAGTATTTTCATTAAAGAGAACGTTTAATGAAATCGGGTTAGAATAAAATGTTGGGATTGAGGGGTGGGGGGGGGGGGTGGGGCACTTCGTTATTGTAGGCCCAATGCATAATACGTTTAGAAACAACATAAATAATCTTTGTTATTTGTGGCACTTATTAGTTTTAAATTAATTGCGTAGTACTTGCAGTATGTTTTATTTTTTTATACTATTTTTAATATTTGGCATTTTTAGGATAATATATTATTTAAACTACTGTATTTTTGTACGGTTAATTTTGTTTTCAGGGGAGGCTAGACAGAATTCTTTCAGAAATTGCTTGGCTGATTTCAATAGTCGATTTTGTAGGCCTATATGAAATTATTTTTGCATATTACCACATTCGACTAGTAGGCCCCTAGCTCTAAATTTGTTAAAAATAACTACACTAAAAATATATGTCGCATAAATATTTTATCAGATTTTATATTTTGATCCACATTTTTATTTTTTGTTTTTTATAAATTTTTTTTGTTCGACTACTTAAAAAAAAACAAAAAATAATCGACTACTCTAATGTTTACATATGGCGACCTCTTATTTTCTGTTTTGACTTTTCACCTTCCCCTGTTACAGATCTTATATAAACTTTAATGCTACAAGTTTTCTAACACTATAGCTTCGGATGTTATTTAGAATCGTGACAGATTAGTCATTAAGAGTAAGACTTCTAGTTAACAATAAGAAGTAGGCCTATTTAAAAAGATGTTATTTTTTTACCAGTCATCTGTTTTATCTTTTTGTGCCGTAGCCGTACTACTGCAGTCAGCTGTTTTCCCCATTTCCTTTGTCAATTCATGGCAGCTGTTTAGATCAAAAAGGGACACCCAGAAAAATACTGAAGAGGCTAATAATGATGCACTGAGTCATACCCTTCTATTAATATCATTTGATGGTTTTAGGTGGGACTACCTGCAGAAAGCGAAAGGAGGAACACCAAACTTTGACAAATTTATTAAATATGGTGTGTCCGCAAAGTTAGGTTTAACAAATGCTTTTGTAACAAAGACATTTCCTAACCATTTTACTATCGTTACTGGATTGTGGGAAGAAAGTCATGGAATTGTCGCTAATGATATGTATGATCCATCTCTGAATCAGACTTTTACGCCTAGTAACCAATCAGCCATGGAGGACCCAGCATGGTTCAGTGTCGGGGCAGAGCCCATCTGGGTTACCAATCAACTTCAGAATCCAAAGGGGCGGAGTGGTGTTTATATGTGGGTCGGTGGAGGGGCACCCATCAAATGGGTTCGTCCTTCGCGCTATGTTCCATACAGTAAAAAAACAAAAATGGAAACTAAAATCAACACGCTGATAGACTGGTTTACAGACGAATATCCAATAAATTTAGGATTACTTTACTCCGATGAACCTGACATTGCTGGGCATGCCTATGGGCCTGACTCGCCAGAAGTTATAGAGAAAATTAAAGAATTAGACAGTTCTATTGGTTATCTGCTAAAGCGTCTTGAAGAAAAAAATCTACTGAAGTCGATGAACATTATAATAACCAGCGATCATGGGTTCACAAACACGCCAGAGAATAAAACAATTGACCTTGACCTATATATTGACCCTACATCCTATAAACTAACTGCCACTTCTCCTATAGCTAATATATGGCCTAATGAAGGTAAACATTTTTTTAATAAGAGTATTTTTACATAAAAACTAATATATCACTTCAGATTTTAGTATTGATGTTTAATACAAGTTTATAAGACTTTCTATTCTCTATATTTTTATTTTAGAATTAATAATTTTTTGTGTGGCCATAAACATATGAAGGCTTGCTTTGAATTTTAATGTTAAATCCTTTTAATTTTTTTAATGAATATCTACGCCTGCTTTAAATTTGATTAAATCATTCATAATCTTTTTACTAAAATAAGTGTCCATTTAGTTAATTTAATTGGGCTAGATATTTTGCTTGTTATCTTAATCATTTTTTTCTCAAACTAACGGCTAAGTTATTAATTCATTATTTTAAAAACTGTTTTTAGATATATAATTTGTCTTATAATTTGTTGAATGGTTTTCAGACATTTCTAAAAGAATAATACTTTTTTTAAATTAAAAATATGTATTTTTCTAATTCTACAGTATTTTATGCAAATTTACCTGTAATTATTTGTATAATTTTTATTTTTTATTATGTAAATATAACTGACACAGTTTTTAAACAGAATGTGGGATTCACTCCAATCTATGTCCACGAAAAGTAGTAAGAACACTATGTACTCAATTTTATTTACCACTGGTATGTGAAATTGTTTACAGGTCAGCTAGAGAAGGTTTATCAAGGCTTAAAAAATGGCTCAGAGTCAACAAAAAGTTTCAAGGTGTATAAGAGGGAAGAGATGCCGGAGCGGTTCCATTACACCAACAATGTACGCATCTCCCCCCTAACAGCAGTGGCTGAGGACATGTACTCATTTACCTCGCTCTTGTATCCTTATCCTAAAGCAGAACGTGAGTGATATCTTACCATGCCTTGAATATCCTGATTTTTAGTTGTCTGATTCTTTCCCAGAAAACTTTTACCTTCATTTTATTTTTCCATCAATTATGTTTTTGCAATATATTTTTTATACATTAATTTTTATACATTAATTTTTTTACATTAATTTTATTTTTAAATTAATTTTTGTATTACTTTTTTTACATCAATTTTATTTTTACATAAATTTTATGCTAAAGAAATTTTTGACTGATGTGTTGATTTCCCCAGTCGGTAACCATGGTTACGACAACGCTCTACAAGACATGCATCCATTTTTTCTTGCCATGGGTCCATCTTTTAAAAAGAATTTTGCCTTGGACACCTTCAATACTGTGGACATTTATCCCCTAATGTGCCATTTGCTGAACGTAAACCCAGCGCCCAGTAACGGGAGCATGGAGGTTGTTTCTAAACTTCTGCTGGGGAAAGAGGAAAAGAGTTCCATCGTCACCCTCGTCACTTGTAAGTATAATCTCCAATGTTTGTTTTTTTTGCCATTTAAAATTTTTACAGTATCTATTTTAAAGTTAATCTTACTGTACACTTATATTTTTTTATTATGCAGGTCTATAATAATATGACATACTTAATCAAAATTGTTTGACTGTATTAATTATGATCTGTACTAAATATAAAATAAGGTCAGGTTTTATTAGGTTTGAAAAAGATATATAATTTAATTGCAGAGACTGAAGAAGAAACGTAGTTATAATAATTTGTAACATTGTATGGATTAGGAAAATTCAAATGTATTCTGTTTTTTTATATCAGCTGTTTCTTAAGACTTAAGTGTTTTATTTAATGATAAATAATTATTGTAACAAACAAGTTATCTGCTGGTGACAGTGTACTGTAATGAACATGATTTTTTGTTTTTAAAATAACTAATTTCTTCAAAATTATAGTTTTAAAAGTGGTCGGTGTGGTCAGGTCTGTAGAGCTAATAGTTTCTAAACCAAAAAGTCTTGAGTTTGAACTCCTGGACAGATGAGTCTCAATATCTGAGGACAGCCACTCTTCTAGGAGAGACAACTCCAGTATCAAACAACTGCTGTCTTGAAGTTTGTTCTTGGATGAACAAAGGCTATGGAAGCTAATCCAAAAAGAAAAGCAGGCCTATATGGCATGTTACATGTTGACCAGTAATACTTAATTTTGTTGTAGGAAATATCATTCTAGAATTAGAATACAATAAAAAATGAATAGGAATAGGAAGAAGAATAGTTTAAGTATTTTTCAGATATCATTGGAATAACCGTCATTAAATCCGTCATTGAAATAATCCTAATAAAATTATACAAATTTTTTCAGATATCATTTGAATAGCCCTCATAAAATTTCCCATTTTTTTTTCAGATATCATTGGAATAGTTCTGATAAAATTGTACACATTTGTTTTCCAGATATCATTGGAATAGTTGTGATAAAATCATACACATTTTTTCCCCAGATATCATTGGAGTATTCCTGATCGCATTGGTAGCAGGTGTGTATATTCTGTCGTCATGCTATTACAGTCGCTATCGCAGGCTGACAGGAAAATATGCCCGTGTGGACTCCCGCGACAGCCCTGCTAAGAGGGCAGACGCAGCTGAAAATGGCGCTGCCACCTTGGGTGGGGATGATCCTAGCAAAGCACTCCTCTCTGATGGCATAGAGACCAGCTGAGTGTTTACTACTCAGATTCACTCTTCTAGACTGATATTATATAAGTTATTTTAAAACTACTATTGTCTATTAACTTATTTTTCTTAGTCTTTTTCAACTCCCAAAGGAGAGTTAGCTATTTATATTATATAAGTTATTCTAAAACTACTATTGTCTATCAACTTATTCTTTTTAGTTTTCAACTCTAAGAAGAGTTAGCTGTTTACATCTTTCCATGCTTTTTTGTCTTTAGCTATTTTTCAATTTCTTTCCATCTCTTTCAAAAAATATTTCTGATTTTTCTATTTATCTGTGTCAGATTTTTTAAATCTCTCTTTTTTCTTGATCCTTGTGGATTCCATGACATGCATTTGTCTGCCATTGTGTATTGCGATTTCCTCAAAATATGGCCTAAATATTTTCAATATCTTTTCTGAATTTCTTTCTCCACTGGGATCTGTCCTGTTCTTCTTCATACTTCTGTGTTAAGTACTGTCAAATCATATTGCCTGTTTACTCTTAATTTATTATATTTATTATATCACACGTGGTGACAAGTTTGTTGCTTGTCACTTTACTGTGAGCAAATAAGATTATTTTAATAAATTTCAACATCATTCCTATCAGCATTTAAATACAAAGAGATCAATTCTAAAAAAAAAAGATTCTTTTAGTTTCTGCTCAACTTAAAGCCTTCCAAGGATTTAATAACTCACTGCCATGTTTTGTCTGTGTAATATTTATAGCATTGTAGGCTTTTGGGTTTAAATAATATTAAGTTATGTAAGCAATAACATACTTTACTGGTCTGCTGTTTGTGTGTGAAGTGTGTGATGTTATTTAAAATTATTAAGTGGGTTTTTAAAAATGTGGGTTGGATAATATGTGATTGTTGATGTTTTATAGCTGTATATCTGAAGGATGTGAAGTAATTGACATAAAATATTCCATAATGATTCACAGAGGGCAGGATATTTCCCCCTTTCAATTAATCCCAGATTATTTCCCCCTTCCTGACATTCTAATCATTTTTTCTGACATTACCCCCCTACATATATTACCCACCTTTGTCAATTACCCCCTTCTAAAAAAAAGCTGCAGTAAGACAATACCCCCCCTTTCTCCTCCTCCCCCCCCCCCCCCCCCCCCCCCCCCGTCGATGAATAACTGACCCTATCCTTAACGTCAAACTAACCCTAATTGAAAGGTAATGAAATGGTTAGGTTTTGGGTTAAGGCAAAAGTATAAAATATGATTTATTAGGGTAATTGACAGGGGGTAATGTACTAGCTTGGATTCACAATACAGTTTTTATGTGTAAATTTTAAAAATTACCCTTTTATGTATCTTCACTCAGAATTCAGATAATTAATTTTAAAATATTTTTATTTTATGATATTATTGCCAAAATGTTATTATTAACCCACATTGTTGAACTTGAGTGTTGTATACATTAACCTAAAAATACCTGAACCATGAAAAATGTTTTAACCCCCCACCCATCCATGTGGCTCTATAGTCCATGGTCGCATGGTCCATTTTCTTGCGTACACATTGTACTGTTTCATTCTTCCAAGTTTGGACTCAAAGCTGTTGTAGGTCTATCTCCACATTGTCTATCTTAATCTAGGTCTGCTTGGTAGTTGTTTTTACTTTGGGGTTTTTGTCATACAGATGCCTTGTGATTTGACATTCTCTCCAGATAATCTTCCTTTTTAAATTTCTGCCATCAATGAAAAAAATGTAATTTATGGTCTGTGCATATTTTCCATCCTTTTTATCTTGAGTAGGTCGAATTATTTTCCATCCTTTTAATCTGGTGTAGGTCGAATTATTTTAAGCACACAATCTAAAGAGCTAATTTATTTATTTTAAACAGTTAAACTTTGCATACTGTACCAAGGGAGGCTACTTGAATAACCTTTGATTTAATTATATTTTCTGTGTTATCTACCTTTGAATTTGCTTGGCTGATACTGTTGCTTACTGTACCATGGGAGGCCATCTGCATAATCTATGATTTGATTCGATTTCTATTTGTTACCTCCCTTCAAGGTGTTTTAGCACCTAGTTTTCATACATTGTCATGTTGATTGTTACTTTGTGTGTCTGTGAAGATTGTACTTTGTTGTGTGAACTGTTGCCCAGCTAGTTAGGCTTTGCTTGTGAATTCACTATTTTAAAAACTATTTTGTTTCAGTACATGTGAAAAAAAAATTTGGAAACCTGAAAAATCAAGGTCAGGTTTTAAAAAAATTAGCCGCCAATAATCATTTCTTTTTCTGTATAATTATCTATATTATGATATTCTCATTAAATTTCCCAGGTAGGTTGGTCTTATTTGTCCTAATTAAACTTGTAAGTCGTGCTGACCCCAATTCCATGAACTGTCTGTTTGTGCCTGTATACTAAATGAGAAATGTAGATATAAATGTTTGATATAAATTGTTTGATGAAAATAGTGCACAGAAAATATTTGGCTATAGTTAACATTTTCTTTTCAGGGCTTTAAATCATAGTAAGTAAATTAATTGGATTCACAACACATTTTTAAAAAAATGTTATTGTTTTATGTTCGTTTTGTTATTATGATTGTGTTACTTTTTTTTTCTTTTTTTTTTACTTTAATGTTTAAAATATTTTAAAGAAGTGTGCATTTTAAGTCCATTCTTACAAAAAGGGTAAATTCATTTTTTATGAAGTGTAAAATAAAAAAAATTAAAGCACTTGCATTAAACCAATTAAAATTAATAACAATTATGGTTAAAATATGAATTCCTTAAAAAGCATCCCACTCAAATATTTGTTTCAAATGTTAATAAATGAAACAGTTTGAGTATAATATACAAATAAAAGTATGAAAATTCAAATTGATCCTTCTTTTTAGATCAGTCTTGATTTACCTTAGGACACAATTTTTTTTTATAATCTACACCCAGTTTTATAGGTGAAATCAGAAAGTTTTTGCTAACATATTATACAAATACATGCATTTCCATGTTTTGTGCAACAAACTGTCAATAGAAATACATTTATTTTCATGTTTTCTACAAAAAATCTTCTACCTTTTTAAATACATTATTTTTTATGTTACAGATAAAATTGAAAAACCAATGTTAATTTTTTTCAACAGAAATTTTTAAGTGTGATTTTGAGGCTGATGTCAAATGGCATTTGTAAAAGTATATTTAATCAGAGCAGTTAGCTAATCGTGTGTTGGTTTCAAGTTAATCATGATCTTGATAAGGTTTTGTATGTTTGGGGACATATTCTGTTGGGTAAGCCTGGGAGTAAAACATGTCTGTAGCTGTGGTGTTTGTTAATGTGGTCTGTGTTGGTGTTAATGTGGTGTTTACTGTTACTTAATGTGGTCTGTGGTGTTAGTTAATGTGGTTTGTGGTGTTAGTTAATGTGGTCTGTGGTGTTACATGATCTGATCTGTGATGTTACTTAATGTAGTGTGTGGTGTTAGTTAATGTGGTCTGTGATGTTACTTAATGTAGTGTGTGGTGTTAGTTAATGTGGTCTGTGATGTTACTTAATGTAGTGTGTGGTGTTAGTTAATGTGGTCTGTGATGTTACTTAATGTAGTGTGTGGTGTTAGTTAATGTGGTCTGTGGTGTTAGTTAATGTGGTCTGTGGTGTTACTTAATGTAGTGTGTGGTGTTAGTTAATGTGGTCTGTGATGTTACTTAATGTAGTGTGTGGTGTTAGTTAATGTGGTCTGTGATGTTACTTAATGTAGTGTGTGGTGTTAGTTAATGTGGTCTGTGGTGTTAGTTAATGTGGTCTGTGGTGTTACTTAATGTAGTGTGTGATGTTACTTAATGTAGTGTGTGGTGTTACTTAATGTAGTGTGTGGTGTTAGTTAATGTGGTCTGTGGTGTTAGTTAATGTGGTCTGTGGTGTTACTTAATATGGTCTGTGATGTTAGTTAATGTGGTCTGTAAAGGCGCTAGTGATATCAATAACCACCTCTCCTATGCAAGACATGTAAATGTAGCTAAGTTCTGTGATCCACCAACCCATGTTACATTGTACAATCACAAACCAACTGCTGTGTTATTATGCAACTGTTATGCTGTGTGTATGAACATGTTTCAGTATTTACCCTACAGTTTTAAAAGCACTGTTGTATCAAGATGGTTAAACCTACACACCAATGTTATTTGCATTACTATAGTTATATAAAAATAGAAATATTTATTTTGATAGTTATGTTTACATTTGATCTCACTAGGATATACAATTTTTGTGTTCTAAAGCTTTTACTTAATGATGTAATGTAAAAAAAAAAATGCCAGAAGTTTAACCTTTTAAAGATTTAATGAGTTGTTAAATTAATCTAAAAAAAAAATTCATAGCCAAATTTTTTTCTGTCTGTAATTTGTTTCAAAATGTTCTAATTAATTATAAATTGCTGAGATGTTATTTTTATTACTGCATAAAAAGAAAAATTGATTTTTACAAATGTATATTAGCAATATGGTTTAAATGTTAAGAAAAAAACCACCCATTCATTAGAATTTTTCAAAAAACTACAGCACAGTGTGACTGATGTTAATTTACCTGATATTTGCTACCCTGTGGCATAGCTCAAATTTTTTTAAGTCGAGCCAAATAAAGTATGCTGGATTCATCTTTCTTTGCTATGTTAAACAGTATCTCTCTTATCATCCGTATGTATTTTGACATTTGTTTCATGATAAATGATATTAAAAATAATCATGTCCAAGTTTCAAGTTGTTTTCTGTTTTAATATTTCAGTAAATACACTTTTTTTCCCCTACTGCTTATTTTAAAAGGATTTTGTTATTATCTTGTAAGCAGTTTTACAGATTAGTTTGGATTGTCTTTCCATAGATAGGTCTCCAGGTGATTTGTGTTACTTCAGGGCTGTGTTACTTCAGGGTTGTGTTACTTCAGGGTTGGGTTACTTTAGGGTTGTGTTACTTCAGGGTTGGGTTACTTCAGGGTTGTGTTATTTCAGGGTTGTGTTATTTCAGGGTTGTGTTACTTTAGGGTTGTCTTACTTCAGGGTTGTGTTACTTTAGGGTTGGGTTACTTCAGGGTTGGGTTACTTCAGTGTTGTGTTACTTCAGGGTTGTGTTACTTTAGGGTTGGGTTACTTCAGGGTTGGGTTACTTCAGTGTTGTGTTACTTCAGGGCTGTGTTATTTCAGGGTTGGGTTACTTTAGGGTTGGGTTACTTTAGGATTGTGTTACTTCAGGGTTGGGTTACTTTAGGATTGTGTTACTTCAGGGTTGGGTTACTTCAGGGTTGGGTTACTTTAGGGTTGGGTTACTTCAGGGTGGGGTTACTTCAGGGTTGGGTTACTTCAGGGTTGGGTTACTTCAGGGTTGTGTTACTTCAGGGTTGGGTTACTTCAGGGTTGTGTTACTTTAGGGTTGTGTTACTTCAGGGCTGTGTTACTTCAGGGTTGTGTTACTTCAGGGTTGGGTTACTTTAGGGTTGGGTTACTTCAGGGTTGGGTTACTTCAGGGTTGTGTTACTTCAGGGTTGGGTTACTTCAGGGTTGTGTTACTTTAGGGTTGTCTTACTTCAGGGTTGGGTTACTTTAGGGTTGGGTTACTTCAGGGTTGGGTTACTTCAGTGTTGTGTTACTTCAGGGTTGTGTTACTTCAGGGCTGTGTTACTTCAGGGTTGGGTTACTTCAGGGTTGGGTTACTTTAGGGTTGTGTTACTTCAGGGTTGGGTTACTTCAGGGTTGTGTTACTTTAGGGTTGTGTTACTTCAGGGTTGGGTTACTTTAGGGTTGGGTTACTTCAGGGTGGGGTTACTTCAGGGTTGGGTTACTTCAGGGTTAGGTTACTTCATGGTTTTGTTATCTGAGGGATGGGGTCGGAAACTGGTTAAAATACGTTCAAGTGAATACATGGGGGGGGGGGACACTGGTAAAAGAATTTGTTTTCTATATAAATTCTATTCCGTTTGGGGAGGGGAGGGCGGTAGCTGTTCTTTGGGGGAGGGGTCTCCCCCCCCCCCCTTCCCCATGCTGCACACACGGAGGGAGGTATGCCTGATAGAACCAGTGCTGGTAGGACGCCGACAAGAGCCAATTTCAGAGTTGCTGTGGTTGCTTAAGTCTTTATATGTGGGAGTTAATCGTGTGAGTAGAATCCATTGTCTGCTAGTTGATGTATGCACTTAAATAAGATGGACGGCCCGTCCTCACATTAAAAGTTATTGTATAGACAGAAACAAGATTGACCGCCTGTCCCCGCATAGTCAACATTGGCATACATTATAGCCTTTAGTTGTTGTCCTCAGAACATATACTCCAGTATATGTTTTGCTAGCTTTTCTATTTACACATTCATAAACAAACTGTTAGCTTCGCTATATGTATTACGGTATCCTGACAGAAGGCCGACAAGGCAAAAAGGCCGAAAGGAAATAACACCGACACATAAAAGGCCGACATCCAATAGGCCGACAAGACAAGGGACGACAGTAAAAAAGGCCGACAAGACAAAAGGCTGACATAAACAAGGCCGACTAGACATACGAATCTATAGAGACTACTGTTATTGCTAGGTAAATTAACATGACGAGAGACGGTTCGATCTAGGTCACCGCCAGGGCAAATTTAAAGAGCTGAAACGTCTGGTCAAAAGCGCACGCCTTTACCGGCTGCCATCTTTGACAAGTTTCAACGGATTTTATTTGCGGCTTAAGGGGAGAGTGTGTCGAGGTGTGTGAACTGTTTCCGATCAAGACTCCCCTGATTGAGCGTACTGTCTCCATTTTGAACGCTCGGGCGCATCGATAGCCGGAAATTAGGTTAAATCCGTCGCTAAACAGCCAATCAACGCCAGTCTAGCCTTCCCCCAGCGCGCGCGCCCCCTAGCGGCCCTAATCAGGCTAAACTAGGCGGGAAATTGGTGGAATGACATCAGTATTCATTGGATAAGTCATGTCACATTTCTAAAGCAGGATCAAGGAACTCGATGATACATTTATGTTTTGTTATCTCTGATAAATTATGCGTCTCGCCTCTTTATCTGGGTGGAGTTTTTTCCCCTGTCAAGAAATGGGAATTTCCAAATTGACACTAACACGATGAAAACGAAGACTTTACTGAAGAATTGTTTTTAAAATAGATTCTGTTGAAAGTTGCTGGATGCTTATGGTTAGAATGTTGATCTACGTTTAAGAATTTGGAATTCGTTTCTTTTAAGTTCGAATTAGTTTAGTTTAGTTTTTATTTTATTTTAGTTTTTAGATGTTAAATGTCTGTTAAAAAGTAAAGTATCCTCTTTAGACCTAGCGGTCCCTTAAGTAGATGCAGTAGAGTTCATATGTTTCTTGAACTCGGCATAAGAAGGGAAGGTGTGGTCAGCACTTTGCCCAGCCGACTTTACTTTCCCTAACGTGAGTTATGTACCCATCAGAGCTGAGTGGACTCAGGGACGTTCTACTGATTTCGAACTCGAGACTTTGGTGTTAGCACCCCAGTGCTCTAACGTTTCGACCAGGCCGTCCCACAAATATGTGTTAAAGGTTAGAATAAAAACATTTCAGGGGAATGGTTTGCATTAGCATTTGAGCTAGTATTATGGAGTTTATGTATAACAGATTAGGTCTAGAGTTTGAAGCTGAGGCAGAGATTCGGATGTTAAGGTTATAACCCGTTCATCGTGAATTGACGGGGAGATGTGTGTGATTAATTCAAGGATTATGTATTTTGGGTTAACAATATGTAGTTAACAATATGTAGTTAACAGTGGTGTCTGTTGGCGAGAGGGTAAAGAAATAACAACAATCCTGCCTAAAATCATGTTAGAGTCACAACTACCCTGCCTACAATCATGTAAGACACAAACAACTACCCTGCCTACAATCATGTAAGAGTCACAACTACCCTGCCTACAATCATGTAAGACACAAACAACTACCCTGCCTACAATCATGTAAGACACAAACAACTACCCTGCCTACAATCATGTAAGAGTCACAAACAACTACCCTGCCTAAAATCATGTAAGAGTCACAACTACCCTGCCTACAATCATGTAAGACACAAACAACTACCCTGCCTACAATCATGTAAGACACAAACAACTACCCTGCCTACAATCATGTAAGACACAAACAACTACCCTGCCTACAATCATGTAAGAGTCACAAACAACTACCCTGCCTAAAATCATGTAAGAGTCACAACTACCCTGCCTACAATCATGTAAGACACAAACAACTACCCTGCCTACAATCATGTAAGACACAAACAACTACCCTGCCTACAATCATGTAAGAGTCACAAACAACTACCCTGCCTACAATCCGCATCTCAATGTTGTTTATAGACAATCGACCAGCATCGTAGAAGAAGGGAAGGGGAGAGGGGTGGGGGGTTAAAGCTGGATTAACCAATTAGCGATATAATCATTTGATAACGGCTTGTAGAGAAAAAAAAGGAGAGCAGCACAGGTTTATAAAGATAACGTATGGCTAAGTTTAATTAGTTAATTTAATATCCCAATTAGGGGTCATCCATAAATGACGTCACGCTTTTTTGACGAGTTTTTACCTCCCCTCCCCTCCTTCACACATTGTCACAAAAAGCCAGACCCCTCCCCCTAAAATGACGTCACACCTCAGCCTACAACTCCCCCCCCCCTCAAAATTGCAGATGAATTTTTCTTAAAACATTGACATTTTTCCACAATCTTGTCTGAACTCTGTCCACATAGAGTATTTTAATCAATTCCTTTTACAATTTATTAAAACAGTTTTCTAAAACGCAAAAAAAGGGCTACAACTCGTTTTCTAACATTGCTTTTTTATAATACAAAAGTGTGACGTCACACCATCTGAATACCCCGCCCCTTCCCCCTCATCACACACCTTCACAAAATTACATACCCACCCTCCCCCTACACGTATGACGTCATTTATGGACGACCCCTAATAGATAACAACACTGATGGAAAGGTTACCTTTATTAAACAAAATAAGATCAGTCACTGGTGTTTTTCTCTCAAGAAAACTTTAAGAGCTTGCTATTTTTTATTTTGTTACGTAGGGAAAAAATTAATTATAAAAAATTTGGAAGATTTTAAGTGGAACTGGAACTGTTTTTTTTTTCTACATAAGAAAATTGTGAGTTAATTATTTTAATTCGTTATTTTTGTAGATTTTTCTCTGGGTACCGAGAGCATCAAATGGTTTCAAATTCAGCCTTAGGTGGGGTGGGTGTGTGGGGGGGGGGGGGTATGTATTCACATTTCTTTGAATAATTATCTAGAAGATGATTTAAATGATTATTAACATATAAATCATGTATGTCTTCAGAAAGATTTTTAAAAATGCCCTGCAAAGTTGAAATAATTGTGTTAGATTCAAGCAGATTGTGTCACATATGGTTACTCGTATAGAGGAACCAGATGCTATTTTCACAACAACAAAAATGAATTTTAAGGAGATAATTTCTTTTTGATTAATAACTGATATCGGATCTCTAAGTACAAGTAATCCAACCCTTTGTAAGACAAACGGGGTCAATGACAGATTCGTTTGACATCAAACTACATCGTGTGTATTGAAACTTTTTAAATTATTTTTCAAATTCAGATACGTTTTTTAAAGCAAAGTAAGTTGATA